GGGGGGGGGGTACCGGGGCAGGGGGGGGGGGCAGAGACCAACTTTGCAGGGGTCCGTGGGGATAAGTCAATGGGAGGGGAAAAGCCGGGGGTGGGCATGGCTGGGGAAGTGGGCAAAAGCATCTCTCAGTCTGTAATTTGGGTGGGAAACACAGGCTGAAACACTGAGAAGCTGCTGTAATTAAACAGGGGGGATAATTCCTGGGGGATGTCTTCCCTCACCCCACCCCAGGAGCCAGGTACAAAAGGAGTATCGGGGTGCAAGCAATGGCATTACCTTGGCTGGAGCGGAGCCGTCAGGAGCGGTGGTGGGGCTGCTGCACGCCACAGCAGTGCAAAACCCACATGCACGGAACCGGGGCTTCAGACACCCCCAAGCAAGCTGCTTCCCTGCTCCCTGCCTCAGTTTCCCCAGCTCCGAGGAATGAGGGACCCAGCGTGCCTTTGCAGCACAAACACGCTGTGCATTTGCATCTTGCTCCTGCCGCTGTGCCGGGGGGGAGGGGGGATCCCACAGCCCACTTCCCTCCTCCAGGCGAGGAATTTGTGGGATTTGCTTCCCCGGTGAAGCTCAGGGAAAGCAAAGCTGTTGCAGGACCCCTCAGAGGATCTGGTTTCCTTCACCACGCTGCAAAAATCTGCTTTTGCTTTCCAACACCCTCCTGCAAATTCGTTCCGGGCTCCGGAGCTTTCGCTTGGTCACGTTGTGAATCCGGCCGCAGCTAACGACGGAAAATGCACCAGGCTTCGGCCCCCCTAAATCCGCCATTGCCAGCCAAACCCCCCCTCCAGCCCCTCGCCGCAGAGGGGGGTTTCCTGCTGGCTCTGCCTTCGGCCTCGCCTCCCGCTCCCTCTCTGCGGCCCCCAGCCCCTTGGCTCAGGGTTGCCTCCCTCCCCAGCTCCCCTCGCCTGGCCCATCAAGCGCAGTCCCAGCGTGCCGCAGGTTTTCAGGCCCCGCATCCATGAGTCGCGGAGCAGCTGGGGCTGCAGCTGCTTTGGGAGCAGGGAAAAAGTCAGGAGGGGCTGAGGTTTCCCTATACGCACCCCCAAAGCTGGTTCAGAGCCTGACCAGCGAGGGGACAGGCTGGCAGTGACCCAGACGGGGTTGCTGAGCTCCTGGGCTGCCCCCCGCCATGCCCTGTTTCTTCACCTTGAGGCAAAGCGTCAGCTGCACTTTTGGGCATCCCTGAGCCAAGCAAATCCTGGCCTGCCCCTGCCCCACACAGCGGGCAGAGCGGTGGGGCAAGCCTGGCCCTAGATGTCACCTTCAACCCACACAGCTCCTGACCAGCACTTAAATCCCAGGCACCGCTGAAAAGTGGGGCCAGCGATAGTCCCTGGTAATTTGCTTCTCTTGCCCTCAGCGGGTGGACAAGGAGGGACAGGCCCCAATGCTGATGTCCTTCCCCACCACACGAGGACCCCAGCCCTGGCTCCTTCTCCCATGTGCCATGGCACAAGTGCCTGGGGTGTCCATGTTCCTGTGGGGTTACCACAGCTTCTGGGTGGCTGGATTCATCCGAGCATCACTGCAGCATCTGCCACCTGTGAGGTGGGTGGAGGCCACATCTCTGGACGGTGATCCCCTGACCAGAGGCAAAATCCAACCACAGATCCGAGGAGGGAAAGCTCTAGCCGTGGTGCAACACAACCCAGCATCTGGAAGCCATGGGCAGCGCAGCACGGCTCACCTCGGCTCAGGAAAACAAGATGGAGCTCAAACCTGGCAGGTAATTAAACCTCCTGCTTAATGAGACTGTTGAATGTGCTAATAAATAGTAGCAGCTATGAATGAGGGGTGGAAGATCTAACCTGAGCTTAACAAGGAGTTGTGCTCAATCACACCTTGATTCAATCAGCACAGCACCCGGCTATACCCGGGGCTTGCAGATCCAGTTGCTGGGAGCAGATTTTTTGGGGAAAAAGGCAGTTGCAGCCATGCATGGCCTGGCACTGGGGTAAATCACATTCCCGGCTCCCCACCTGTGCTGACCAGTTATCTCTCCTTTCTCCTCACTTGGCCATAGCCCAGTGAAACTCCTGAAATTGGTCAGTTGAAGGTGTAGTGAGCCTCAGGCACCAAAGCCCCCTCCTCCCTCCCTGGTGGGTTGCTCCCCATCACCATTTCCCCCTCCCATCTCCATGATGATTCCATTGAAACCAGGAGTCTGCGGATGCTCCTGGCAGACTCACAGCCATGGCATCCCTCCAGAGCTCTGTCATCAGCATGTGCCCCTGATGGCAGAGCCATCCTGGCCGGTGTGGGGTGCCCTGCTGCTCCTGGCCCCACTGACCCCCACCCTGGCCCTGGGCTGATCTCCTGCACCACCCCATGGGGATCTGGGGCTTACAGCAGACAAGGCCAAGGAAAAAAAACCCTCCCTGGAAAAAAAGCTCTGGTCCAAGTGACTCAACGCACGTCATGTCAGGGAAGGTTGGCCAGCAGCGTTGGGGCTGGGAATGTGGGTTGTGTCACAGCAGAAGCAAATGTCACTGGGAGATGCTGGGGCAGGGGGTGCTGCTGGCACGCTGCCTGGGGCCACTGGAGTCTCATTCTGACAATAAAGCAAATCTCCCCAGTTTCAGCTCAAACCTGCTGCTCCTTTTGGTTTCCTGCTGTTCAGAGCAGTATGACACAGCCAGGATCCAGTCAGCCCACCCCAAGACCATGCAGCTCTCAGGGGTCCTAGCCACATCCCGGACATTCACTGTGGGGACAAGAGATGGGCAGCAGGCAGGTCCCTCCTGCCCCACGTGCCAGGCAGGACCCTCACCGGGAAGCAGCAGGCCTCAGGTTTCTCCAGGCTTTTCCAGAGCAAATTCCTCCCCAGAACAAACCCGTCAGCAAATTCTTGGGGAAACGGTTGCAGCTGTGATCAGGAGGGATGGGGGGGGGTGGCTCTAAGCCGGCCTCGAGGAGCAGTGGCCGGATGGCGAGGGATGCTCTGTTCCCCAGGCTGTCGCAGTATCCCCAGCCAGAGGCTGCAGGGCCCCTTCTCCGGCCGAGGCAGGAGCTGTGGCTCGGCAGGGCTGGATGCGGCTCGGCTCCTTCCTGACAGGAATCCCTCTGCTTTCGCTGGGGTTTTTCCACCAGCCCCATCCAAGAGCGGGTCATATAACCTGGAGCCAG